ATTTTGAAGAACTTTTTTTTTTTTGTGTGTGTGTATAATGAAAACCAATGAGGTCCAGTGTTATTTTTCAGGTCCCACTGACTTTCATTGTATGGACAAAAGAGCAGAGAAGTGTAGAGCAGTGTTGTTAACCTAAACTAAATCTAATAAAAATATTTTTTGCTAATTTAATTAAAGCTGAAATAAAATATCAATATTAGATGAAAAACTAAAAAATACTTATATAATTTTAGCAAAAATTATCAATATTATGTGAAATAAGTACTAAAACTAGAAGAGAAGAAAATTAATTAAAGCTATATATATATATATATATATATATTAAAAAATAAAAATTATAAAAGCATATACCAAAATTACTAAAACTAAAATGAATGCCGAAAAATGCTGAAAAAAGAAGCTAATTCAAAATATTCATAAATACTATAATAGTATATAAATTATACTAAAATAACACTGGTTGGAATAACATGAGGTTGAGTAAATGATGACAGATGTTTCAATATCGGGTGATCTATCTCTTTAAGTGTGTAATTTTTTCCAGTGTTAAAAACTCTTCCATCCCAGCTTAGTTGATTCATCCAAAAAGTGTAAACAGTATGGCTATGACACTATTAAACATTGCTCTTTGTCTTTGAACAATCAGTCCAGCATAGCAACGCTGACTCAACCAATGAGGAAATTTTGGGTGTGTTACTATAACTTTTTCAGACCAGTGACTGATGGGGGGAGCATTTGTTTAAAGTTACACACTTCGGCTCTTGTGTATACCTACTCACTAAATCATGGACCAAACTCAGATTTTTTATTTAGTCTACGCTGAATGATGCTAACTGATTGATCTTTTGCGTCCCGTTGAATAACTCAGAAACAGCCCCCCGGTGGGATTCCTGCCACTAGCACTACAGTGGCATTGTCTGAATCTGCAGCTGATCCCAGTTTGGCAATGTGCAAAAGAGTATTACACCAGCGGTTAATCCAGACACATCTGGAGCATGCTGGTGGCGTGCTAATCAGCTCTGGGAGGATTAGCATCAGGCAAGCGTCATTCCGCAAGGCAAGTCTTGTCTAGTCTAGCTGAAAGCTTTCGTTCCATTCTGAGGGAATCTGGTGGGATGGGGACAGTCACCACTCGTTTGACATTGATATATGCTAAGTCTGTTTGCTATATCATATTTTCTTGATCTTGAAGGTTTGGAAGGGAAACGTGTTTGTTATTCTGTTACCCCACAACACAGTATTACGTTTCACATCTGTCGGAGCCGTTACCATCATAGACATGTTGCACTTCATATTCAGTTTTGTGGTCAATATGACTTTTTCGATACTTGATTATTGAATAATAACATTGTCCTCAACCTTGTCCTCAATACACTACAAAAATTATTTTCTTACTTTTACTTTTCGTATTTTTGACTTGTTTTACAGTACAAATATCTAAATATTCTTAAAATCACGATAAATTTACTTGAGAAGCAAAATTGCTTAAGTCTTGTTTTGTGTTGCTTTGTTTTCTGAAAAAAAAAAATTAAATTAAGTGAGTTGATGCTTAAAACAAGAAAAAAACATCTGCCAATTGGGTAAGAAAAATAAACTTAATTCATAGGTTTTATTTTTCTTCCCCTATTTGTTCTTGTTTTTAGTTTAAACTTTGATAAAACATTTTCAGATAACTGAGACTTTTACATAATTTTGCTTCTTAAAGTAAATGTATCTTGTTTTAAGAATGTTGAGATATTTTACTGGATAAAAAGACAAAAATATTAAAAGTTTTGCAGTGTCTGTGCATCGTCTGTTATGTTAATAGATTACATTCATCCTAGCATTTATGATATCAGCTTTGTAAATAGTCAAAGTAAAAGTAAAAAACAAAAATGTCACCGTATAGTAATAAAATTATGCTTTTTTTTGTGGACATTTCATTATCATCTACAGTACATGTCAGATTAGTCATAAGCAATTACATCTGTTGTTTATTTAGGCCTCTTGTTGACTTGTAGTTGAATTATGTAATTAAGCACTCAAGTTTCTTCCCAAAGGAGCAAGGGGAACTTATTTAGCCTCTGACTAGAGTCTCAAGTTCAAGTCTGCAGTCGTCAAACCTAATCTTTATAATTATCCGCCATGGTATGGCAACAAAGTTGAACTTTGTTTCCTTTCGCAGACTGATCCACGGACCGCCGTTAAAACATGACAATCTCAAAGCACAACAGCATCATATGGCACTATATTCGGCCTCAATATGTGAGGAAATAACGTATCAAAATAGCTCCAAGACATCATAGTTTGTAAGTTTGTAGCACTGGAGCTTGAGCAAGACAACCAGTCCTGTACTCTAGTTCTGGACTTGTCATCTTGGGAGATACTCCTTTGGCAAGCTAGAATGGTTGCTGGCTCTGAGGGCCTGGTACACAGTGCTGATGTAGCCATCAATCAGCCGTTTCATATCTAGGGTGAAGGGGTCAAAGGTGGGCCGTCGCGCACCTGAGCGCTTGAAGTGGCCATCCTTGTTGCACTCAGCACAGAGGAGCCGCTCTTCGCTGACACTGGTATTGAGGAAGGAAGTGATGGATCGTAATGTGGGCACCAGTGACTCCTGCAACTCCTCATAATGCACCACCAGAAGGTTCTTTCCATAATGCAGCCAGTCCAATACGTGAGAAGCCCACCAGGAGGCATAACTACCCACAAATTCTGGCCACTCTAGAAGGAGGAGAAAATAGGACGTTAAGAAACATTACGTAAAGGATTTGCACTATATGTTAAATAATCCCTTTACCATAGATAGACAGATTGATAGATAGACTAACTGAAAATAAATAAAGACTAAAAATGAGCTAAAACTATAACTGAAACAAAAATTCAACCTAAGTAGTTACATTTAAAAAGAAAAAAAAAAACAAAAAAAAAAAGCACATAAAATTACAGAAAAATGACATTATTTAAAAAAAAAAGGACAATTTAAAAATAAGTTATTACATTAAAATTAATAATTTTAATAAAAACCATCATAGTGTATAAATAACACCAAAATAACACTGACACATGCATAGTATGTTTCTCATGGACACTGCAGAGCTAAACTTATACTGTACTCATAATACCTTTGCTCTTCCAGTGCTGATCAGAAGCGTAACCAAGATGCCCAGCGCACTTGCGGTTGAACTCAGCCATGAGCGAGCGGTAGGGGTTTCTTATCAACAGTATTGCTGAGTCATACATCTCTATATCCCGCTGGCCGCTCTCATGTGTCTTCACACAGATGGTTCTTCCACTCTTCCAGTAATCTTTCTCCCCCTTGAAGCCTGCACAGTTGGGAGGAGAAAAGGATTAGAATATACAGCCAACTGCATGTGGCGACCGCTCAGTGCCACCTCTGAATCCAAGCGCATATGTTCCAAAAACTGCATCAAAAATGGTGTTAATCCAGGCATGGGCTCTACGGCCCCCCTCAGGCAAATGTGTCAGGTTCTGTGATGGATTTGAAAAGGCACTGTGACTTTCAAGGCAGGTCAAGTTCTTTAATGATAGAAAAAAAATCCTCAATAAAGTTTGGCATTTGAAAGAAAAGAGAAGGTCAGCTGTGCCCAAATACACGTTATCAAGAGGTCTCAAATAGCTGCATGGTAGGAAAACAGCTGAAGAAAAGAAAAACTGTATAAAGTTGCTCTGCTGCTTTTAATAAATCATTCCAAAAGACTCACCAAACTTTGGAGTTACTGTTTAGATCAGTCCAAACTTCTTTAAAAAAAGGTAGTCCTAAGTCAGTCCTAATGATAATGGCACTGTTTTATGCAGTATGTGCTTAGTAATGCAAATAACGCCATTACATTGTGGTGGCAGATTAACCTTTGGTTAAATGCCCACTTTCCATTAAAGACATCAGCCTGTTTATGTGCAAAAAGATAGCAATGATGATAAATTCATCCCATCCAATGTCAGTGCAATAATATTTTTCAGAGAGGCTTGATTTGCGACAAAGATGTCCTCTATCAACGATGCTTGCAAGCTTTTAAAACGGTAAGATTTATGAGTGGTGATACTGTTACCTCTATTGTAGATCGTGCCATCAAAATAGTAACTGCCTGTGTAGTAGCCTGTGGCAAGCTCGATCAGATGCCTCACCCAGGTGTTTCCCGCACCAGGAAAACTGGACAAAGCCACGAGTGAGCTTGACTTCTCAGGTAGAAACTTCTTCTCTGTGCATCTGGAATCTGGACAGAAATAAATGTCTAATATTTATTTTCACTTGAAAGAAGGTCAGTTACCATATAACAACCTGTTATTTTCAGCCAGGCAGTATGTTATGGCAACTATTCATTAAAAAGAAAAATCACACTATAAAACTATTGTCCAATCTTTAGAAATAAAAGTATGTTAAGGACTACTTTAACATTGTATTTTTCATTATGCTGTGCTTTTCAAGCTGTGTGTAGCACCTACAGCTCTGCATAGCCATCTGAAGGATCCTGATGTTAGGTAAGAATGGCTAAAGTTTATTTTTAACAACAATTGTTAACAATTGTCTTACTTGTGTTATGATACTATTTCCTATTGCTAGTTGGTGGCAGGTGGTATTAGAGGGAGGAAATATTTGGTAAATTTGGTCCATTGAATTAAAAAATTATTAACCAGCACAACTGTTTTCAATATTTATAATAATATGAAATGTTTCTTGAGCAGCAAATCAGCATTTTAGAATGCTGATTCATTCATTCATTCCCCTCACAAATTAGGTGATAAAAGCACTCAGTAGAAATCCTCTCTAGTTAGCTACCAAATCCACCCACAAAGACAACAAGCTGTTAAAGATATTTACTTTCAGTCTTACTTATTATTTTTCAAGCTGTCTCAGTCTCAGATATATGAGTATTTTACAGATGTGGGTGCCCTTAGGCTATTATGTGTTGTTAGAAAGTTTAGCATTGCCAGGTATACCTAAAAAGTTATTATTCACTTTTACATTCTTTCATGACTTCCCAAAGAAAAATCTTGGAATTGTAGGAGCAGGCACCCTGTTTAATTCTAGCATACATCTCGAGGCTGAGCTCTATGTGAGAAGAATAAACTGCCCGTGTGGGGAAATGTGAGCACAGAGGTAATTATTAAGATCAGTGAGGTTTCCACAGAGTCTGACCTTGAACAGGTGTCTGATAAACCTGGAGGAAGAGCTGATGGGAACTCTGGATAGGCAGACTGCTGTTTTCCACAGCACAGAGCTCCTCTTTCACCGGCTCATGAAGAGTGAAGCGAGGGGTGGCATAGCCACAGAAACAGTCAGGCTTCCTGACCAGAGCCAGAGGAAACTCCTGATACAGAGAGAGTAAATATGTATATGAATGACAGCAATGTCTCTCAATCCATACTTCAAATTACAACTATTTTGAGTTATTATTATCTGAAAATGTTCTCAAGCAATGCAATTAGCTTAGCTAAAGATGAGGATGAATCAATTGACCATGTTGCAAGAGTGCAACAAAGCATGACATTCTGATAGAAAGGGCTCAAATTATACTGCAATCAAGGTGATAAAGCTGCATATAAGATTGATTACAGAGCGAATTTGTGCTCTCTGGGGACACATTAATATTTAAACAAGCCGATTGTGTTCAGAAGAGTGGGAAAAAAATCAAGTATCTGGTGTGCACCTAGCAGAGCAAGAACTACAGCAGACCATGTCCAATCCACATGAATCTAGTATTGATAAAGTCAAGAAAGTCAGACCTGATCCATGCAGGTCTCGATGCACCACTGGGAGGTGAGGTTGGGCTGGATGGCATGAGCCAGGGAAGCTGCTGTTGTGTTGTCAGGTTTTTTGAAGCAGCCCCGGTAGCGCACTTTCCTGTCTGAAGGCAGAGGAGAATGGAGAACATTGCTGATTTACAGGAGAAAAATAGTGTAGGAACAAGATTTTGTGCCAACACTCAACTCATTGCCCTAAGGTTTGGAATGCTGCAGTGAATGTGTAATTAAGATGTATGTATAAAAAAAAGAACTCATAGACCTTCAAAGAAATATCAAACAGTTCAAGGAATCAGGTTGTATGGGTAATGAGTGAACTGCAAAGAAGCCACATTTCACAGAAATAGGAAACTACGCTATCTAATATGAATAATTTTATAATTTTTTCCGAGTTGCTTCAGCTTTTTCCAAACTCTTTTCAGACACAGCTGCATGTTTCTTTTAGCAAGTGCTTTTGAATGCAAGGAAAGGAATGAATTTGATGAAACTCACTATGCTTTAAATTGACATTTAGAATTTTGAAACATTTTGAGTTTCCCTTGATAACATATGTACACAACATAAATATTAATAATATGTTTAGCTGATATCCACTACCATTCAAAAGATTTTTGGATGTTTTTGAAAAAAAAAAACTTTAATGCTTACCAAGGCTTCATTTATTATATAGAAAACAGTAAAAACAGCAATATTACTAAATATTATTACAATCTGAAATAACTGTTTTTTTTTTTTATATTAATATATTTTAAAATGTAATTTATTCCTGTGATGACAGTATTCAGGGTCACATGATCCTTAACACATCATTCTAATATGCTGATTTCCTGCTCAGGAAACATTTCTTATTATTAATGTTATAAAAAGTTGTGCTGCTTAATATTTTTTGTGGAAACGGTGATACATTTTTTT